GTAACTGCTTCGTGGATCTGGCCCCTAAAGGTTTTGATAAGGTACCACTTGAGAGACTAGCAAGCAAATTACAAGCACATGGAAAAAAGGGTTGCATACTAGAACTGATAAAATAATGTTTAAAATAAAGAGAGCAAAGGCTTATCCTAAATAGAAATGAACCTGAAGAAATGGTGTGAGTGGGGTACCGCAAGGTTCTATTTTGGGGCCAACCTTTTTTGTTATTTAGTTATTTATTTATTTATTTATTTATTTATTTATTTATTTATTTATTTATTTATTTATTTATTTATTTATTTATTTATATATATACAAGAAGGTACATTGGGATTGTGAGGATACATAGCATAGTATTTACATTCTTGTAAAGCCACTAGTACGCGCAGCGTTTCGGGCAGGTCCTTAATCTAAGAAAATTTGAAGGAGGTAAATACTTGCAAAATTTATAAAAATGATAAAAGTTACATAGCAAGAAAAAAAAAATACAAGATGAGAAAAAATATTTGTTGGAGAATATACATCAATGAGACTATTACAAACCACATGATCAGATGATACTAAGATCTAAATATATATTAATAAATGTATATTCAGGTAAATGTACATACATACAAGATGAGTTACAAATAATATGCAGTCTCCGTGGTGTAGTGGTAAGACACTCGCCTGGCGTTCCGCGAGCGCTATGTCATGGGTTCGTATCCTGGCCGGGGAGGATTTACTGGGCGCAATTCCTTAACTGTAGCCTCTGTTTAACGCAACAGTAAAATGTGTACTTGGATGAAAAAACGATTCTTCGCGGCAGGGGATCGTATTCCAGGGACCATAGGATTAAGGACTTGCCCGAAACGCTACGCGTACTAGTGGCTCTACAAGAATGTAACAACTCTTCTATATATCTCAAAAAAAATAATTTTGGATTTGTAGATGGAGCTAGTACATACTATGCCTAAAGCCACTAATATACACAGCATTTTGTGCAAGATGTGGGGAAAACACAGACTAAAACTTAAAGCTAATTGAGATCAAAGCATAAATTGAATGCAGGCGATGAGTCACAATAACGTGGCTAAATTATGTTGACCAGACCACACACTAGAAGGTGAAGGGACGACGACGTTTCGGTCCGTCCTGGACCATTCTCAAGTCGATTCTCATCGACTTGAGAATGGTCCAGGACGGACCGAAACGTCGTCGTCCCTTCACCTTCTAGTATGTGGTCTGGTCAACATAAATTGAATTGAAAAAGGTAAAAAGAATTCTACTGTAAAATAAGAAGTGATAATGATAAGAACGCCTTACAAAGAGCTCAACATGAACTTCACAAATGGTCAAAAGACTGATAAGATCACAGGATGAGTATAGAAGACTGATAAGATCACAGGATGAGTATAGAAGACTGATAAGATCACAGGATGAGTATAGAAGACTGATAAGATCACAGGATGAGTATAGAAGACTGATAAGATCACAGGATGAGTATAGAAGACTGATAAGATCACAGGATGAGTATAGAAGACTGATAAGATCACAGGATGAGTATAGAAGACTGATAAGATCACAGGATGAGTATAGAAGACTGATAAGATCACAGGATGAGTATAGAAGACTGATAAGATCACAGGATGAGTATAGAAGACTGATAAGATCACAGGATGAGTATAGAAGACTGATAAGATCACAGGATGAGTATAGAAGACTGATAAGATCACAGGATGAGTATAGAAGACTGATAAGATAACAGGATGAGTATAGAACAATAAATGGTCCATTCCTAGCAGCAACAATCAAACTGAGGACATTACACACAGAAACCACAATAGCGTGATGCATCAATGAACAAATCACAAGGGTCGTGACGAGGATTCGAATCCTCGTCACGGAGCCGGTTGGCCGAGCGGACAGCACGCGGGACTTGTGATCCTGTGGTCCCGGGTTCGATCCCAGGCGCCGGCGAGAAACAATGGGCAGAGTTTCTTTCACCCTATGCCCCTGTTACCTAGCAGTAAATTAGGTACCTGGGTGTTAGTCAGCTGTCACGGGCGGCTTCCTGGGGGTGGAGGCCTGGTCGAGGACCGGGCCGCGGGGACACTAAAAAGCCCCGAAATCATCTCAAGATAACCTCAAGATAACGGCCCTTGTGGATTTGTTCAGTAAAATGAGGACATTTTTCTCCATGTCAACGGCCAGTAATTGCACCCGGAACATTTGGTGATCCAAAAGGGACCTTTGCAGCTAGTTATGTAATGAACTTTTATCTTCCTCAACGATGATGTGTGATGCAAGGATTCTTGTCATGTATCTAGTCTCCACAGAGTGGTTATCTTGAGATGAGAGGTTATCTTGAGATGAGTGGTTATCTTGAGATGAGAGGTTATCTTGAGATGAGAGGTTATCTTGAGATGAGAGGTTATCTTGAGATGAGAGGTTATCTTGAGATGAGAGGTTATCTTGAGATAAGAGGTTATCTTGAGATGAGAGGTTATCTTGAGATGAGAGGTTATCATGAGATGATTTCGGGGCTTAGTGTCCCCGCGGCCCGGTTCTCGACCAGGCCTCAACCCCCCCCCCCCAGGAAGCAGCCTGTAGCAGCTGTCTAACTCCCAGGTACCTATTTACCGCTACGTAATAGGGGCATCAGGGTGAAAGAAACATTTTGCCCATTCGTCTCCGCCTCCACCGGGGATCGAACCCGGAACCTCAGGACTACGAATCCGAAGCGCTGTCCACCCAGCTGTCAGGCGTGCCTCTGTTCTTCGTTTCATACAAATTAGTTCTCCATCGACAAGCCATAGTGAGAATTAGCTATTCATGAGTGCTAACCTACAAATCTAGCATGGAGGTGTATCGAAATGCCCCTTTGTGAGTTGTACCTTGTTAGCTTCGTTCCTGCCCTGGGAGAACCCCAGTGATCTTTGTTAAAGTGTGCTGTGGCTCAAGTGTAAAAGGTATGGCCCACCCCGACCCCTGGGGTAGCTGGGGTTATCACCTGGTGACAATCAGGGTACGAGCACTGCGGAGAAATGCCCGACAGACCACTGGAACATTATCTAACACAGTGCACAGTTACAAACCCATTAAGATTTCAACTTAGATTCAACAGAGCAGAAGAAGTTGTTAAACACATATGGCAAAATCTTACTGAAGCGACCATACGAGTCATAAATACTCATACTCCGCCCAAGTAAAACAGAAACAAGCAACACTTAGTGGACCAGCCAGAGGCTTAGGGCCCGCCCAGTGGGCCAGCCAGAGGCTTAGGGCCCGCCCAGTGGGCCAGCCAGAGGCTTAGGGCCCGCCCAGTGGGCCAGCCAGAGGCTTAGGGCTCGCCCAGTGGGCCAGCCAGAGGCTTAGGGCCCGCCCAGTGGGCCAGCCAGAGGCTTAGGGCCCGCCCAGTGGGCCAGCCAGAGGCTTAGGGCCCGCCCAGAGGCTTAGGGCCCGCCCAGTGGGCCAGCCAGAGGCTTAGGGCCCGGCCAGTGGGCCAGCCAGAGGCTTAGGGCTCGCCCAGTGGGCCAGCCAGAGGCTTAGGGCCCGCCCAGTGGGCCAGCCAGAGGCTTAGGGCCCGCCCAGTGGGCCAGCCAGAGGCTTAGGGCCCGCCCAGTGGACCAGCCAGAGGCTTAGGGCCCGCACAGTGGGCCAGCCAGAGGCTTAGGGCCCGCCCAGTGGACCAGCCAGAGGCTTAGGGGCCCGCCCAGTGGACCAGCCAGAGGCTTAGGGCCCGCACAGTGGGCCAGCCAGAGGCTTAGGGCCCGCCCAGTGGACCAGCCAGAGGCTTAGGGCCCGCCCAGTGGGCCAGCCAGAGGCTTAGGGCCCGCCCAGTGGACCAGCCAGAGGCTTAGGGCCCGCCCAGTGGGCCAGCCAGAGGCTTAGGGCCCGCCCAGTGGACCAGCCAGAGGCTTAGGGCCCGCCCAGTGGACCAGCCAGAGGCTTAGGGCCCGCCCAGTGGACCAGCCAGAGGCTTAGGGCCCGCCCAGTGGGCCAGCCAGAGGCTTAGGGCCCAGTGGTAACTTTGTTCAGTGGTTAGTTCAGTGGTAACTTTGGCATGCCAAAGTTACCACTGAACACCTGGCATAGTCAAGTGTCCGGCACAACCAGCGGTGTAACCAGAGCGAAGCTACTGATGGTACAACCCACGAAGCTCTATGTCATTCTACTTAATGATGACTTAAGTAGATGATGAATTCTTGCCCGAAACGCTGTGCGTATTAGTGGCTTGAGGCGCAGTATATACGTGTTCTATACAAAAATCCAACATTCTGTTTGTAACTCATGTTGTATGTATATACTTTTACTTAAATAAACATTCAATTATTTATATTTATTTATTTAATTACTATGTTGCCATAACTGATACACTATTTGGAAACAATATTTCAAACACTATTAAAGAATGTTTAGGAATAATGAATATAAATTAATTTTAATAAATAAAAATATTTATAGGAGATTGATAATAAGGCATAGAAGTAAATCAGAAGTAATATTTTGTAAACTGAAAAAACACAATAACTAAATTTAATATTTTTCCTATTTCTTTAATTTTCTGAAACCCAAAATAGAAATTGTTATCAGGAAAGTCCAAGACTTACAATAAATGACGTAATAATAACACCTATTATTTGATCCTTTCTTGTATCTCTCTCTCTCTTGATACTTAAAACCTAATTTAGGTAATTTAGGTATCTCTCTCTCTTGATACTTAAAACCTAATTTAGGTAATTTAGGTATCTCTCTCTCTCTTGATACTTAAAACTCAATTTAGGTAATTTAGGTATCTCTCTCTCTCTTGATACTTAAAACTCAATTTAGGTAATTTAGGTATGTCTCTCTCTTGATACTTAAAACCTAATTTAGGTAATTTAGGTATGTCTCTCTCTTGATACTTAAAACCTCATTAAGGTAATGCATTAGTGAGCTGTGCTATGGCAGTTCATTCCACATTAAAAAAATATCTAAAAAATCCCATTGATCTTTAAGACTGAACTGGGCACTCTACCCACCATTAACAAGGAGTCCAACAGCATAGCGGTCAGCACCCTTGTCGTTCTCTACATTAAGGATATAGTCCCTGGCGTCTGCAGCATCCACACCTTGCACCCGCAGCCTTGCAGAGTAGCAGTCCTCTCGCACGTCCTGCTGGGAGAGGTGTCCACTAAAGTAACTGTTATGGAAGGTGACCACTTGAGTAACTGTTATGGAAGGTGACCACTTGAGCAGCAATTTGAGATGAAAAATAATTGGTGGAACAGTTTTGGTAAGGGATATAATCAGTAAATAAGTGGGATGCCACATGGGTTCATTTTGAGACGTATTCTTCTGCGAATTTGATAATGTGGTTTATAATATTTTCATCTGTCATTGACGTATATGGCAAAAAGAATACAAATTCAAATTCAAATGTTTATTTAGGTAAAGTACATATAATGCCTAAAGCACTAAACGCTTTGCGTAATAGTGGCTTTAGGCATTGTATGTAGTAGCCTATCTATAAATTCATCAATATCTATATCACCCTTTATATATATATGTACTTTACCTAAATAAACATTTGAATTTGTATTCTTTTTATCATATACGTCAATGACAGAGATGAGAATATTATAAACCACATAATCAAATTTGCAGAAGACAAAGTTTTATGGTAAAGTGGAAAATGATGATAATATTGAAGCCTTACAGAGAGATCTACATGAACTCCACAAATGGTCAGAAGACTGGATTGGAAGACTTAAAAATGCTTTTTAATATCGACAAATGCAAGATGATGCAAGTGAGGCATAACGAGCCAACCATGACTACCTGATTAATAGATTTTGACTCCAAGGAAAGGACTTTGGAGTCAAAATCCACCATCATTAAAAGTTACACAACATATTGGTGCAACAGTCAGAGAAGCTATCTTGAGGTTATCTTGAGATGATTTCGGGGCTTTTAATGTCCCCGCGGCCCGGTCCTCGACCAGGCCTCCACCTCCAAGAAGCAGCCCGTGACAGCTGACTAACACCCAGGTACCAATTTTACTGCTAGGTAACAGGGGTATAGGGTGAAAGAAACTCTGCCCATTGTTTCTCGCCGGCGCCAGGGATCGAACCCAGGACCACAGGATCACAAGACCAGCGTGCTGTCCGCTCAGCCGACCGGCTCCCAAACTAACCAAACTCTTCGGATAATCAAACGTACTTTTTGACTATAAGGAAAAGAAGGCAATGGTTCAACTGTATAAATCCATGGTGCGCCCCCATTTGGATTACTGTATCCATGTAGCGAGACCTCATTGTGAGGACGACATGGCTGTTCTGGAGAAGGTGTATAACCGAGCAACAAAAGTCATTCCAGAGCCCCGTCATCTCCCATTCAGGAATGCTTGAGGACGACATAGCTGTTCTGGAGAATGTGTATAACCGAGCAACAAAAGTCATTCCAGAGCCACGTCATCTCCCATTCAGGAATGCTTGAGGACGACATAGCTGTTCTGGAGAATGTGCATAACCGAGCAACAAAAGTCGTTCCACAGCCACGTCATCTCCCATTCAGGAATGCTTGAAGGCCACAGGCCTAACAACACTGAAACCAGGCATGACAGGGTGGTTCTCATTGAAATTTTTAAAATACTTAACAAGTTAGAGGATGTTGATAGAGATATTTTCTTCAGAAGGTCAGACATAACACAAACAAGGAGCAACGGTTTCAAGCTCAACAAGTCACAATGTAGAACTGAGAACAGGAGATGCTTTTTAACCCACAGGGTTATTAACCCATAGAACGGCCTACCCGCTGAAGCCGTAACTGCCAAAACTGTGTTGAGTTTTAACATATACCTAGAAAAGATCAAGGCAAATTTGGGGGAGGGGGGGACCTTTGACAAGCCGCTGGCTTTCTGTCCTCATCAAGGCCACTAGGGTTAGTGGCCCTCAGGTAATTCAGGTAAAGTAGCTGAAGAGTAAACATCTGGTAGGGCAGCTGAAGTGAGGAATTTTGTACTGAAATTTCCCGAAATCATTACATGATTGTTTACCCTAAATTATCCTGAATTTACATGCGAGTCACTATCCAGCAGGTAGGCGGTTCCGTGGGTTTATAACACTATAGGGAAACAACAAAAAAATCTTCTGTTTTCTGGCCTACATTGAAGCCTTGTATGCATTACATTTGACTTTTGAAGAAGAGGTCTGGCATAATATTCTCCAAATTATGCAGTATTTTAAGTTTTAAGGGAGATCAGCTCTGGTATGTCTGTAAACTACTGTACTTATTTTAAGCCAACAATGTATAATTTGTATTTCATGAAGCCTTGACCTGTGGGTCAAATGCCTCCCGGCAAGTGGGGCATCAGCAGCCACTGGAACAATAGTAAATAATAGGAAAAATTGTATGATGCATTTTATGACATTTCAGAAAAATGTTTATAACAAAATGACTCGATGAAATTAAAATAAAATGTCACCAAGAGCTACATTCACTATTATACATGATGTGTATAAACATTATACAGTACAATACAGTGGCTAATAAAAGTGAATGGGCCTAAATTAATTTTGATGAAATTATCTGATATTGCTTTCTAATTTCTTTGTTAAGTTTTTCTACTAAAAATGTTCTACAATCTTAAAAATATTTCTTTGATATACAGTAAGAACAAAAGACTCTGGTACTGGGAGCCAAGGTCAGATGTAAGTTATGATAATTATAAGGAAACATCACTGTTGTTGTTGTTGTTTTAGGTTTAACTACTCAGAACGAAATGTCCATGTAGCACGGTCTATGGTGAGCCCGTAGAAACATCACCAAGCCAGTATGACTATATAGAACAGGGGGACAGATGTAACTGTGCACTGTATAGGTTTTAATAAAATCAAACTTGCTGTGTATCCATTAACAGCAGACAGCCCAGCATTCTTGCTTAAAAGATTCTTATTTAGAATATAGAAATCCATTCTTAGGAATACATCATTACAGTCAAAGGAAACTATTGTGCAGTACCCTTATAAATACTACATTGAAACTTTAACCCAAACACTTGATCATAGTCAAAAGACCTCGTTCCACTGTACTATACTGTAGTATTAAAACTATAAACCTAATGAAGTAATGAATTAAAGGATTTTGCAGCATTTAAGTTATTCAGAAGAAATTATAAAAAAAACCTAATGGCCTCGTTATACTGCCCTAGTAATAGGCAATGCAATTCATCAAAGACCTCATCTAATTTAGAATATAGAAAGTCATTCTTAGGGATACATCATTACAGTCAAAGGAAACTATTGTGCAGGAAAACCCAAGAATTACAATACATGACGTACAGCAATGATGTGTATAGCAATGATGTGTATACCAATGATGTGTATACCAATGACGTATACCAATGACGTATACCAATGATGTGATCCTTTCTTGTATATCTTTCATGATACCTAATTTAGGTAATGCATTAGTTAGCTGTGTTATATAATAAATAAATACTACATTGAAAATTTAACCCCAAAACACTCGATCTTAGTCAAAAGACCTCATTCCACCAAGTAAATAAGCTCATGCTGATCTCACGAGGCGCAAGGTACCTGAGCCAGGTTCTCAGCCACGTAGCGTCCTCTGCCATTGCCAGCTTCAAGCTGGAGGGATCCCCACTCCCAGGAGGTGCGGGAAGGCTGAGGGTCGGAGCAGAAGACAATCTGGATGACGGCATCTTGGCCCTTCTCCACTTGCACGTTTCGCTCCACTGTATAGCGCAGGACCTGCGGGGCGCCTGCGCCACAACACACCATAAAAGATACATTATTCAACCCGTTCTCGCAAATTCGTAAAGTCAATATTGACTAATTAACTACGTGCATAGGTGATATACTAAACATAATAGATACCCTTAAAAAGATTCATAGAAAACACCGACCTTACCTAACCTTGTTAGTATCTTAAGATAAGCATCTTATTGCTTCGTAATTACAATTATTACCTAACCTATACCTATTATAGGTTAGGTAATAATTGTAATTACGAAGCAATAAGATGCTTATCTTAACATACTAAGTAGGTTTGGTAAGGTCGGTGTTTTCTATGAAGCTTTTCAAGGGAAACTATTATGTTAAGTATGTCACCTATGCACATATTTAATAAGTCAATATTGACTTATTAAATTTGCGAGAACGGGTTGCATTATTGACATGCTTGCTAGAAATGGATCACTTATTACGATAATTCAGTAATTTTGTTGTGGAGAGACATCTTGTGAATGTATGCATCTGCAGGTGATGAGTCACTATAACGTGGCTAAAGTAAGTTGACCAGACCCCACACACACTAGAAGGTGAAGGGACGACGACGTTTCGGTCCGTCCTGGACCATTCTCAAGTCGACTTGAGAATGGTCCAGGACGGACCGAAACGTCGTCGTCGTCCCTTCACCTTCTAGTGTGTGGTCTGGTCAATGTATACATGTTAGGCTTATATCAAGGTCCCCTCCCCCCCCACCCCCCCACTCCCAAGATAAGCGTAATAGTGGCTTTAGGCATTGTACTAGCTCTATCTATAAATCGATCATTTTTTTTTAATTTCTTGTATGTATGTATCTTACCTTATCTTGAGGTTATCTTGAGATGATTTCGGGGCTTTTAGTGTCCCCGCGGCCCGGTCCTCGACCAGGCCTCCACCCCCAGGAAGCAGCCCGTGACAGCTGACTAACACCCAGGTACCTATTTACTGCTAGGTAACAGGGGCATTTAGGGTGAAAGAAACTTTGCCCATTTGTTTCTGCCTCGTGCGGGAATCGAACCCGCGTCACAGAATTACGAGTCCTGCGCGCTATCCACCAGGCTACGAGGCCCCTGAATAAACATTTATTTATTTATTTATTTATTATTATTTAAGATTGATTTAGTGTCCCTCCTGAGGGTGCCACCCCCATAACACACTTATAACTCCCGGGTACGGATTTACTGCTTAATGTACAGAAGCATGAGATACAAGGAAACGTGCCCAACCATTTTTGTCCCACCAAGAATTCGAACCCAAGATTCTTGTTTGCGAGTCAAGAATGAATTCAACTGTACCACCGCAGACCGTCTTCATAAAGGCCAAAGTCCATTCCATGCTCCTGCCAAACCTGCTGTTGATGAATGGAAAATGATTCACTCAACTCGTAACTGATGACGTCCGAACACTTCCCGAAACAATTACTTTGCTGACGACTTGTGTTCGAACCACAACGATGTAAATGCTTCACCCACGTACTACAAATACAAATAATTGCCAACAGAACCTAAACACTTAATCTTACCAATGTCTAAATATGTACAATATGCTAATATATAACAATATTAATTTGCATTTGAGAAAATTCCTATTTTGGATGAACAGCATGTTAAAATTGATGAATGCGTATTTGGGGTCGACCGCTAGATGGAATGGACTTGGTCTGAGGACGGGTTAACTGCCGAGAACCCCTGTACCACCGAACCCAACTGTACTACAGACCCTCAGCCAGTCTGAATGGAAGGTTGACAGAACAAGGGGCACTATACTACACTAGTTCAAAGACAAAACCTCAGAATTTCAAACTACTGTAATACTAACAAATCCACAAGGGCCGTGACGAAGATTCGAAGCTGCGTTCGGGAACATCCCAGACGCTACCTTAATCGACTGAGCTACGACAGGGTCAAAAGAGTTGAAACCGAAGTTCTACGGCCCTTGTGGATTTGTTCATTTGATGCATCACGTTAGTGTGATCTCTGTGTGTGTAATGATGTAAGGGCGAAGAGGGAGAACGGCCTATTGACATAGCTCGGGTGCAGGGGGGGGGAAAGGTTGTGTAAAACCCTGGTTTGTGTCACGGAGAGGCTGCAGGATCCAGTAAGTTCAGTAGAACTTCTGTTTCAACTCTTTTTAACCCTGTCGTAGCTCAGTCAATTAAGGCTCGATCTGGGATGCTCCCGAACGCAGGTTCGAATCCTCGTCACGGCCCTTGTGGATTTGTTCATTTGATGCATCACGCTATTGTGATGTCTGTGTGCACTGTACTACACTGTAGCATCAAAACTATAAACCTAATGAAGTAATGAACTAAAGGATTTTGCAACATTTAAGTTATTCAGAAGAAATTGCAAGAAAACCCTAATGGCCTCGTTATACTGCCCTAGTCATAGGGGATGCAATTCATCCTGCTGGAAGTCATCCAACAATGAGTCCCAATCCGTCAACAGGAGAATTTGTCCACCTCAACTTGGATGGAAATAGGACACCTCAACTTGGATGGAAATAGGAAAGACCACAAAGCTTATTCGACATCCCCCAAATATACACTGCACAGAGAGCTAACTGCTGAAAATCCAGAGGTAATGCTATAAACAAAGTACAATGTCATTGTTTCAGAAAGGATGCAGAGTTCCCCCTAATCACATACTGAATCACCTGTAGATAGTCTAACTGAAGTCAGATAGCCAAGCCTTGTAGTAGAGAGATACAGCATGCTAAAGTGATCTCATTTTTTTTTTTTTTTGAGATATATACAAGAGTTGTTACATTCTTGTAGAGCCACTAGTACGCGTAGCGTTTCGGGCAAGTCCTTAATCCTATGGTCCCTGGAATACGATCCCCTGCCGCGAAGAATCGTTGTTACATCCAAGTACACATTTTACTGTTGCGTTAAACAGAGGCTACAGTTAAGGAATTGCGCCCAGTAAATCCTCCCCGGCCAGGATACGAACCCATGACATAGCGCTCGCCGAACGCCAGGCGAGTGTCTTACCACTACACCACGGAGACTGCTAAAATTTGCTAAATTGCTGCGCAACTCCTGGAATGAATTGTTAATGTACTATAATGCTGGAGATCAGTGATGCTGACTGGTATCCACGAAACCTCAAACGATTGGGCAGGAGGCTACTACAAAGCCAAACCTTAACAAACCCGTAGAGGAAAATGCCGACATAGGAGAACTTATAGGAAGTGAAGTGCTGGTCGCTAAATAAAGCAGAACAGAATTCTAAGTCAAACCTTACCCTTGGTATACACTCAAGTCTAAGTTCATCCGAGCCAGCAGTTTAGTTCATTTATTATGCACCCCATACCCATCTTGTGGGCGGTAGTAGGAAAGGTTACAGAGGCACATAATGGGCTCAGGGACTGAACCCCACAATTCATTTAGCTAAGCAAGTTACAATCTTGATGAGCTAGTTACAAAATTCAATATAAGTCGTCACATCAACAATGGGTTCGAGATCGACCTCAAGTACAGGTTGTAAATTAAGCAACTGACATATGTGGAGAGCTGGTGTCACAATTGATATGTTTGTCCTGCACACCGCCCCCCATCCAGTGGGCAGCGGTGGATAGGTTACAATCACTTAGTTACTACCTACAGTTAGCAAACTGGGGATATTTGGCTAAAATTTCTGGTAGCAGATCATTTTGAATGAAATATTGACACATCGCTGGAACATTGGTTATAGAATTGTCTCTAAATTCACGTATCTTTTCGCACTCCATCACATAGTGACGGAGGGTGTGCGAATAATTGTGTTGACACAGTTTACATTTGGTCAGGCATGCAAAGATATGCATACATGGTCAGGTATGTTTCTGCAATGCGGAAACCATCATACACTGGTTCCCAGAGGAGGAGTCACAATAACGTGGCTGAAGTATGTTGAACAGACCACACACTAGATAGTGAAGGGACGACGACGTTTCGGTCCGTCCTGGACCATTCTCAAGTCGACTGTCTTGCACACAATCGACTTGAGAATGGTCCAGGACAGACCGAAACGTCGTCGTCCCTTCACTTTCTAGTGTATGATCTGGTCACTATACACTAATTTCCCAGACCAGCCCAATCACTGATGGGACTGAACTATCGAGTATACTGAATTTTGTAACTAGCTCATCAAGATTGTAACTTGCTTAGCTAAATGAATTGTGGGGTTCAGTCCCTGAACCCATTATGTGCCTCTGTAACCCTCTCCACTACCGCCCACAAGATGGGTATGGGGTGCATAATAAATGAACTAAACTAACTAACGGAAAAATAATTGGAGGGACGAGCCAGACATGGACGAGGGGCGAGAATATGGCCCTGTGACGGAGGCATTGGGTCACTCAGAGTCACACTTGCCAGGGTAACCAGAAAGCCTGCCCCGGGGCCGGGTTTGGGGAACCGAACTCTCAGAACCCAGTCGAGTACTCCAGGTAGACAGGAAGATAACCAAGAACCAGAACTGCCCAGAACTGCTGCCTGAACCTTTGCCAAGCCCAGAACTGCTGCCTGAACCTTTCCCAAGCCCAGAACTGCTGCCTGAACCTTTGCCAAGCCCAGAACTGCTGCCTGAACCTTTGCCAAGCCCAGAACTGCTGCCTGAACCTTTGCCAAGCCCAGAACTGCTGCCTGAACCTTTGCCAAGCCCAGAACTGCTGCCTGAACCTTTGCCAAGCCCAGAACTGCTCCCTGAACCTTTGCCAAGCCCAGAACTGCTCCCTGAACCTTTGCCAAGCCCAGAACTGCTCCCTGAACCTTTGCCAAGCCCAGAACTGCTCCCTGAACCTTTGCCAAGCCCAGAACTGCTCCCTGAACCTTTGCCAAGCCCAGAACTGCTCCCTGAACCTTTGCCAAGCTGGTGCTAACCTTGCAGTTAGTCAGCTTCATAAGGTGACCTTTATCTCTCCTTACTAATTCTCTGACCTTACTAATCTCTCTCGTCTCATTTTTTTCTTGCAATGTATCTGTTATCATTTTATTAATTCTGCTAGAATTTACCTACTTAAAATTATCTGTTAGATTAAGGACCTGCCCGGAACGCTGCGCGTACTAGTGGCTTTACAAGATTGTAAATACTATGCTATGTATCCTCACTAACCCAATGTACCTTCTTGTATATAAATATATAAGTAAATAAATAAATAAATAAAAATTATATTCACTATTCATAATTTCTTGCAGTTGCCAGCCACTCTAAAAAGATTTAGTTATATAGTGTCATTGAACAAATAAGTTAAGCATTATAAAATTATAAATTGTCAATTATACATAACATATATGAGGCCTACAGGCCAAAAAGTTAACTCCACTCATATAAAATATTATGATAAAACCTTAATGTGTTAATTGTTAATGATTGTATGTACTTTTGTACTATTGTATGTACTAATGATTGCATTGTATGTACTAGCTCTCTCTATAAATACAGAAATATTTGTATCACCCCTTGTATGTATGTGCTTTACCTGAATAAACATTTGAATTTGAATTTTGAATGTTGAATTTGATTAAGGGGCGACGAGGATCGAAGCTCCGCAACCTTAATGCGTGGAATGTTTATAAGCGAAATAGTGACTATAAGCATGTCCTATATGTACTGTCTTGTGCGAGAGCGGGTTGCAAGAATGTGTATAGGATGCTTACCAACGACCTCGACTGTGATTGGCTGACTCTTCTCCTCAACAGTCTGTCCCTTGATAACGGAGGAGGCAACACAGGTGTACTGGCCCTGGTGCTCGTAGCCTATGCCCTCCAGGAGCAGCGTAGCGTTGTGACCCCGGACCATTGTCTCCTGGGTGTCCGGCACAGTCTGAAACATCAGTTAGTTTAGTTCATTTATTATGCACCCCATACCCATCTTGTGGGCGGTAGTGGAAAGGGTTACAGAGGCACATAATGGGCTCAGGGACTGAACCCCACAATTCATTTAGCTAAGCAAGTTACAATCATGATGAGTTAGTTACAAAATTCAATATAAGTCGTCACATCAACAATGGGTTCGAGATCGACCTCAAATACTGCAACATCAACCAAATAAATGAATAGTTATCTTGAGGTTATCTTGAGATGATTTCGGGGCTTTTTAGTGTCCCCGCGGCCCGGTCCTCGACCAGGCCTCCACCCCCAGGAAGCAGCCTGTGACGCAGCCTGTGACAGCTGACTAACACCCAGGTACCTATTTTACTGCTAGGTAACAGGAGCATAGGGTGAAAGAAACTCTGCCCATTGTTTCTCGCCGGCGCCTGGGATCGAACCCAGGACCACAGGATCACAAGTCCAGCGTGCTGTCCGCTCGGCCGACCGGCTCCATACATACAAGAGATTTTTACATAAATTGTTAGGTTAATAGATAGAGCTAGTACATACAATGCCTAAAGCCACTATTACGCAAAGCGTTTCAGGCAGGAAAAACATTAATGACTAAAACTTAATACTAATTGAGTATAAAGAATAAATTGTGTTGAGGACAAATAAAGATAAGAAAGGGGGGGGGGTGAACAATGTGTCCAATTGTTGTTGTTGTTCTTGTTGTAGATTTATCTACAGAACAAAATGTTCAGGTGAACAAAATGAACAAAATGTCGGGAGCCGGTCGGCCGAGCGGACAGCACACTGGGCTAGTGAGCCTGTGGTCCCGGGTTCGATCCCGAGCGCCGGCGAGAAACAATGGGCAGAGTTTCTTTCACCCTATGCCCCTGTTACCTAGCAGTAAAATAGGTACCTGGGTGTTAGTCAGCTGTCACGGGCTGCTTCCTGGGAGTGGAGGCCTGGTCGAGGACCGGGCCGCGGGGACACTAAAGCCCCGAAATCATCTCAAGATAACCTCAAGATAACCTCCATGTAGCCCGGGCAATGGTATATCCAGGGTGGTATAATGTGTGCTCAAGAAATAATGAACACCACGGCCCCTGTGGCGTAGTGGTTAAGACCCTCGCCTGACGTTCTGCGAGCGCTTTGTCCTGGGTTCGTATCCTGGCCGGGGAGGATTGACTGGCCGCCAATCCTTAACTGTAGCCTCTGTTTACTCAAACAACTGGCCGCCAATCCTTAACTGTAGCCTCTGTTTACCCAAACAGTAAAATAGGTACCTGGTTGTTAAACGATTTGGCAGGTCGTATTCCAGGGACCACAGGATTAAGAGCTTGCCCCAAATGCTACGTGTGCTACTGGCTGTACAAGAATGTAAGAAATCTTTTATATATCAAATATGTGTGTACGTGTGGTAACTACGCAAGTGTAGTTACAGGATGAGAGCTATAACCAACAAAAGACCTTTTGTGCCCTCTGTAATGCTTTTTTTGCGCTACCGCTCAAAGGGATGAGTATGGGGTGCACAATAAACTAGCCGCCTCCTTCGGCACTAATCAATCAATCTCGTGGTGTCCCAGCTTCCTAGTACTGTACCTTATTTGTCACACGACACTTTGAAACTAATGACAGTTTTGGTATCGAACCCTTGCTGACTTGTTCCTTCTAACACTCTGCAAAAGTGAACTTTATAATATTTTGGGAGCTTCTTTGTTTCTTTATCAAGTCTGACAAGTCCTGATACTATGAAGAGGTATGATGAATGAGAGAGGTGAGTGTATGAAGCACTGTGGTATAGAGGCGAGTGTATGAAGTACTGTGGTAAAGAGGCGAGTGTATGAAGCACTGTGGTATAGAGGCGAGTGTATGAAGCACTGTGGTAAAGAGATGAGTGTATGAAGCACTGTAGTAAAGAGGCGAGTGTATGAAGCACTGGTAAAGAGGTGAGTGTATGAAGCACTGGTAAAGTGGTGAGTGTATGAAGCACTGGTAAAGTGGTGAGTGTATGAAGCACTGGTAAAGTGGTGAGTGTATGAAGCACTGGTAAAGAGGTGAGTGTATGAAGCACTGTGGTAAAGAGGTGAGTGTATGAAGCACTGTGGTAAAGAGGTGAGTGTATGAAGCACTGTGGTAAAGAGGTGAGTGTATGAAGCACTGTGGTATAGAGGCGAGTGTATGAAGCACTATGGTAAAGGGGTGAGTGTATGAAGCACTGTGGTAAAGAGGTGAGTGTATGAAGCACTATGGTAAAGAGGTGAGTGTATGAAGCACTGTGGTAAAGAGGTGAGTGTATGAAGCACTGGTAAAGAGGTGAGTGTATGAAGCACTGGTAAAGAGGCGAGTGTATGAAGCACTGTGGTAAAGAGATGAGCGTATGAAGCACTGTGGTAAAGAGGTGAGTGTATGAAGCACTGTGGTATAGAGGCGAGTGTATGAAGCACTATGGTAAAGGGGTGAGTGTATGAAGCACTGTGGTAAAGAGGTGAGTGTATGAAGCACTGTGGTAAAGAGGTGAGTGTATGAAGCACTATGGTAAAGAGGTGAGTGTATGAAGCACTGTGGTAGAGAGGCGAGTGTATGAAGCACTGTGGTAAAGAGGTGAGTGTATGAAGCACTGTGGTAAAGAGGTGAGTGTATGAAGCAGTGGTAAAGAGGTGAGTGTATGAAGCACTGGTAAAGAGGCGAGTGTATGAAGCACTGTGGTAGAGAGGCGAGTGTATGAAGCACTATGGTAAAGAGGTGAGTGTATGAAGCACTGTGGTAAAGAGGCGAGTGTATGAAGCACTGTGGTAGAGAGGCGAGTGTATGAAGCACTATTGTAAAGAGGTGAGTGTATGAAGCACTGTGGTAGAGAGGCGAGTGTATGAAGCACTATGGTAAAGGGGTGAGTGTATGAAGCACTGTGGTAAAGAGGTGAGTGTATGAAGCACTATGGTAAAGGGGTGAGTGTATGAAGCACTGTGGTAAAGAGGCGAGTGTATGAAGCACTGTGGTATAGAGGCGAGTGTATGAAGCACTGTGGTAAAGAGATGAGTGTATGATGCACTGTGGTAAAGAGGCGAGTGTATGAAGCATTGGTAAAGAGGTGAGTGTATGAAGCACTGGTAAAGAGGTGAGTGTATGAAGCATTGGTAAAGAGGTGAGTGTATGAAGCACTGTAGTAGAGAGGCGAGTGTATGAAGCACTATGGTAAAGAGGTGAGTGTATGAAGCACTGTGGTAAAGAGGTGAGTGTATGAAGCACTGGTAAAGAGGTGAGTGTATGAAGCACTGGTAAAGAGGCGAGTGTATGAAGCACTGTGGTAAAGAGATGAGTGTATGAAGCACTGTGGTAAAGAGGTGAGTGTATGAAGCACTGTGGTATAGAGGCGAGTGTATGAAGCACTATGGTAAAGGGGTGAGTGTATGAAGCACTGTGGTAAAGAGGTGAGTGTGTGAAGCACTGTGGGAAAGAGGTGAGTGTATGAAGCACTATGGTAAAGAGGTGAGTGTATGAAGCACTGTGGTAGAGAGGCGAGTGTATGAAGCACTGTGGTAAAGAGGTGAGTGTATGAAGCACTGTGGTAAAGAGGTGAGTGTATGAAGCACTGGTAAAGAGGTGAGTGTATGAAGCACTGTGGTAAAGAGGTGAGTGTATGAAGCACTGGTAAAGAGGTGAGTGTATGAAGCACTGGTAAAGAGGCGAGTGTATGAAGCACTGTGGTAGAGAGGCGAGTGTATGAAGCACTATGGTAAAGAGATGAGTGTATGAAGCACTGTGGTAAAGAGGCGAGTGTATGAAGCACTGTGGTAGAGAGGCGAGTGTATGAAGCACTATGGTAAAGAGATGAGTGTATGAAGCACTGTGGTAAAGAGGCGAGTGTATGAAGCACTGTGGTAGAGAGGCGAGTGTATGAAGCACTATTGTAAAGAGGTGAGTGTATGAAGCACTGTGGTAGAGAGGCGAGTGTATGAAGCACTGTGGTAAAGAGGTGAGTGTATGAAGCACTGTGGTAAAGAGGCGAGTGTATGAAGCACTGTGGTAGAGAGGCGAGTGTATGAAGCACTATTGTAAAGAGGTGAGTGTATGAAGCACTGTGGTAGAGAGGCGAGTGTATGAAGCACTGTGGTAAAGAGGCGAGTGTATGAAGCACTGTGGTAGAGAGGCGAGTGTATGAAGCACTATTGTAAAGAGGTGAGTGTATGAAGCACTGTGGTAGAGAGGCGAGTGTATGAAGCACTGTGGTAAAGAGGCGAGTGTATGAAGCACTGTGGTAAAGAGGCGAGTGTATGAAGCACTGTTAAAGAGGTGAGTGTATGAAGCACTGTGGTAAAGAGGTGAGTGTATGAAGCACTGTGGTAAAGAGGCGAGTGTATGAAGTACTGTGGTAGAGAGGCGAGTGTATGAAGCACTGTGGTAAAGGGGTGAGTGTATGAAGCACTGTGGTAGAGGGGCGAGTGTATGAAGCACTGTGGTAGAGAGGCGAGTGTATGAAGCACTGTGGTAGAGGGGCGAGTGTATGAAGCACTGTGGTAGAGAGGCGAGTGTATGAAGCACTGTGGTAGAGAGGCGAGTGTATGACTGTTGCATGGCTGGTATAACCTAAATATACAAGCTATACACGTACACAAGCAACAGGCATGACTCCACTGTCCTCCAGCACTCGCTCCAACTGATGCTGTCGTCCCGGGCCACCAATCATGGTTGACCAGACCACACACTAGAAGGTGAAGGGACGACGACGTTTCGGTCTGTCCTGGACCATTCTCAAGTCGATTGTGCTATTGTCCCCTCGACAATCGACTTGAGAATGGTCCAGGACGGATCAAAACGTCGTCGTCCCTTCACCTTCTAGCGTGTGGTCTGGTCAACTTACTGTAGCCACGTTATTGTGACTCATCGCCTGCACCAATCATGGCTTCAAGTTCTCAACTGCTAAGACTTGTTCTGTGGCTTTTAACACTGAGGCAAGTCGTTCTTGGTCCCTGATTGGCGCTCTATGGTAGTTCTCTTCCCTATAAAGATGCTACTAAAGTTTAGGGATGGATTTTTGGCACAAGGGGGCCTCGTAGCCTGGTGGATAGCGCGCAGGACTCGTAATTCTGTGGCGCGGGTTCGATTCCCGCACGAGGCAGAAACAAATGGGCAAAGTTTCTTTCACCCTATGCCCCTGTTACCTAGCAGTAAATAGGTACCCGGGAGTTAAGTCAGCTGTCACGGGCTGCTTCCTGGGGGTGGAGGCCTGGTCGAGGACTGGGCCGCGGGGACACTAAAGCCCCGAAATCATCTCAAGATAACCTCAAGATTGGTTGTCATCCCCATATGTTTTACCTCCGGGTCGAAATGGACTTCGAATACTCTTAGGCCCTTACGCTCCCTCGTGTCTTGTTCCATACTTTTTTTTTTTTTTTTTTTTGAGATATATAGAAGAGTTGTTACATTCTTGTACAGCCACTAGTAAGCGTAGCGTTTCGGGCAAGTCCTTAATCCTATGGTCCCTGGAATACGATCCCCGCCGCGAAGAATCGTTTTTTCATCCAAGTACACATTTTACTGTTGCGTTAAACAGAGGCTACAGTTAAGGAATTGCGCCCAGTAAATCCTCCCCGGCCAGGATACGAACCCATGACATAGCGCTCGCGGAACGCCAGGCGAGTGTCTTACCACTACACCACGGAGACTTCTTGGGGTACGGACGTATATCATTCTCTCTTGTGTTCTCTATACTTGATTATGGCGGCCCGGCCTACTCCTCTCCCTGGAAACACAAACCGAAACTGTCTCTATTTTCCGCTTGTTACAACTTGTAATAAAGTTGTTACATCTTGGCTTAACGTGTTTATGACGTATTAGAACGTTGTTACAACTTGCTATATTGGTTGTTATAACGGGTTAGGTGGTGTTAAAACTTGTTCGAACGTTGTACCAACGTCGTAGTTTCGGTGTGTGTTTGGCGGGAGCTGCCTCTCCTTCGGTCCTTCGCCGTCTTAATGCTCCGCACCATGTTGGGTTTGCCCCTCAGCTCTGGTTCCTTTCTTTCATTACTCATCCAGAGCTTGTACGTTGAAATGAACGACTTGTCGCTCCAGGATCTTCGAGGTCTTTACTGCTTTCGTTACTTCGTAAGGTCTCTGCAACACCCTCATTTTCCAAGACCAAGAGGATCGTTGGTCTTCTGTTACTGGTAACAAACTGCGTGCTCTTATAGGTAGCGTGGCCCCATAGCCTTCCTTCCTACCACCGTAACCGGCGGTGGGAAACGGCTCTGGCGAGGTTACGTATTGGCCATACACGCTTAACTCACGGACACTTAATGGAACGCCTTATAGGGGGGTAGAAATAGCCTAAGCTACTCTATCCCTTTGAGATGTATTTCTTGCTTATATCAATAAACATACTTGAACTTGAACTTGAAATGGAACGCCGCCCTGCTCCTTATTGTCCCACTTACGGTCGTGCATCTTATTGTTGAATGTCCTGATTTTCAGGACATTCATGTGTCTTGCTTCCCAGCTGTTCGTAGCGGTCACTTTTCCCCTCGATAGGCTCCATGGGGAATCCGATAACATTTGATATCGCTCGCCATATGAACTTTTGCTTCTGTATTGGCATCCTTAGTGATATTTAGCACTCTTTGAATCAACTGCTACTTTGATGGTGTTACACAGTCTCTCCAGCTTGGTGCCTTCTTTCGATGTTTACTAAACGCACTCCGCGTAAAAACTGATGAATGCGTCTTAGAGCACGTGCCCTGCGAAAAAAGAGCCTTCTCTGAGGACATAAGTGATATACATAGTGAGAAGTGCACGGCTTGTACTATGGTCTATGAAAGACAGGTGTGTGGACCTACCTGGAGCCAGGTGTACTTAGGTGGAGGGTTGGCCTCGGCGAGACACTCGAGCAGGGTGTGGTTATGGAGGGCGGCGGTTACAACGGGTGCTGGGCCCACCTGCAACACTCGGGGTCCATCTGTAAGTGCATGGACCAATTAACCATCTCATTTATCATATACTTTACAATATTATTATTGGCATTATATTATTATTATTATTATTATTATTACCAATTATGATTAATAAGATATTAATAATACAGAAAATGCTGTTACACACACACACACACACACACACACACACACACACACACACACACACACACACACACACACACACACACACACACACACACATACGTTCACCTACAAAATTCTCAGAGGAATTGACAGGATGGACAAAGACAAACTGTTTAACACGGGTGGAACACGAACAAGGTGACACAGTGGGAACTTAGTACTTAAATGAGCAACATTATAAAGATGTTGTTCAGTGTCAGAGTGGTTGACAAATGGAATGCATTAGGAAGTGATGTGGTGGAGGCTGACTCCATACACAGTTTCAAGTGTAGATATGATAGAGCCCAATAGGCTCAGGAACCTATACACCAGGTTAACTAGCTGACAGTCAAGACGGGCATAGGCTGGTAAGGGTAGGCCTAAGTTAAGTTATTTAAATATTAGTAATTATTCACACCATCCCTCACCCCCCATTTGTTAACTTCCCTCATCTGGCTCTCACGGATTCACTTCTGGTCAAGTGTGAAATGTTCATTGAGATCCCCGAAGAGTTTTTCGTCAGCAGAAAAAATAATTATTTCAGACAGAGATTGCAGCCAAATTAGCGTGTAACAAAGATGAAGTTGAATTGGATCTAGGTATCCCCCATCTCTGCTGTCAAAACTATATTGTTCTAAACATTCAGGTCTGACAGGAGAGAATTTACTGACGCCCAACGACCAGAAAGCACCAGTATAAAAAGCTACGATTTGTTCAGATCTGAAACCTAGGTTTATGGGCAGCACAAAACGTCGACCAGACTGTGCGACACAGTGGTTGCCAGGATCAGGTTGGGTTACCGTTACCTGTGGCAGGTGGCTACCGTTACCTGTGGCAGGTGGCTACCGTTATCTGTGGCAGGTGGCTACCGTTACCTGTGGCAGGTGGCTACCGTTACCTGTGGCAGGTGGCTACCGTTACCTGTGGCAGGTGGCTACCGTTACCTGTGGCAGGTGGCTACCGTTACCTGTGGCAGGTGGCTACCGTTACCTGTGGCAGGTGGCTACCGTTACCTGTGGCAGGTGGCTACCGTTACCTGTGGCAGGTGGCTACCGTTACCAGTGGCAGGTGGCTACCGTTACCTGTGGCAGGTGGCTACAGGTGACGGATCTCCCAATCCTGAGCACTCCAGTTGCAAACTCTGTGAGCAGGAACTGCGGCATGATCTCCCACACTACAACACCGAATGCCCAGTTATTAGACCTTTCAGACCCGTTGGCATGAGGTACCTGGAGCTTGACAATTACTCCTCCTGGTAGTGGTACAATGATAAGTACTCACACTTGACATCAATCTTGACAGAAATGGGGTCAGAGCCGCCGACGGGGTTCCTGGCCTCACAGGTGTAGGTGGCAGAGTGCTTGCGAGTAGCCGGGCTGAACCTGACCTCGGGCTGGAAGCTGAACACGTCCGTCTCTCCCAGCACGCGCCACACCACATTTGCCGCCGGGTTCGAATCCACCAGACAGCGGAGGCTGACGTCATCCACGCCTTCCTCTATGTCCTCGGACGGGGCGCCCTCCAGCGTCACCGTGGGGGCATCTGGGGGACAAGAAATAAGTTATACAAAGGAAGTTAAACTGAATATACCTGAGGGCGGCGTCACAGTGATCTCAACGGGGCCTTCTTCTTCACGTCGAAGCCCCACGAGTCTTCCTCGGGGAATTTTTCTCATTTGATTTTAAAAGTGAAATAATGTCTTGGCATTGGACGGGTAGGCTGTTCCATAAGTATGGAATCCAATGGATGACAGAGCGTCTCTTTTCCTGGCTTACTGATATACAAAGGAAATAATGAACTGATTGGTTAAATAGATGACAAACTAATGACAAATAGCAAAATATAATTTAGTCCATCCAATTCTACTAGTTTATGAAAGGCTGTAATATATATGGAATTCGCACTTTTCCAGAAGCCCCAAGTCATAACGACTATATAGCATTTGGAAGGGGTCAGGATAAGGATATGGGATGGGACGGGGGGAAAGGAATGGTGCCCAACCACTTGTGGTCGGTCGGGGATTGAACGTCGACCTGCATGACCGTCGCTCTACCGTCCAGCCCAAGTGGTTGGGCTAAATGTTGTAAAGTATTAATCATAAACATACATAAATGACACAGAATATTAGTGGCCAAAAATTATTCTATGACAAAAGTCCAGACGGAGAGGGACTTACACTGGACGTCCAATATGACCTGGACGACCTCGGACTTGGTGTGGTAGGCCTGGTGCACGGCCACACAGCGGAGAGGGGTGCCGTGGTCGTCCTTGACGTACGTGTGCTCCAGCACGGACACGGCCAGCCACGTCTTGGGCCGGTCCACCTCCGACGAGTTGGTCTGGTCGTACGCTTCGGCCGGGATTTCCTTCTCTCCTGTGTTGTAAACATCACCAGATGTTGAGACTCGTTAGAGCGATGTTGACCAGACCACACACTAGAAAGTCAAGGGACGACGACGTTTCGGTCCGTCCTGAACCATTCTCAAGTCTCACAATCGATTTGAGAATGGTCCAGGACGGACCGAAACGTCGTCGTCCCTTCACTTTCTAGTGTGTGGTCTGGTCAACATTAGCACAAGTCTTAAACAGTATTAAGTACCCAATTGGCCGAAACGCTGTGCGTATTAATGGCTTTAGGCATTAGGATGTACTAGCTCAATTTAGAAATCCAACAGTCTGTTTGTAACTCATTCTGACTGTATGTCCCTGAATAAACATGTATTTATTTATTTAGTACACTGTTACGAACCCGGATCCAGCGTCCGTGCCTGGAGCAGTGACAAACACGCCATCTGTGGGTCAGCTCCCGAAACCCCCGCCAAACGAACGACGACACCTAGTGAGGACAGCGTGTACTGGCCTCGAGGACCAGTTTCCAGTCTGGTTCAGCGCTCAACACCGCCGCTCCTGACCTCTGGTGAGGTGGTGCTCCGACGACAGCGCCATCTATGGAGTGGATATGTCGGGCGTTTGTATCTGAGCCTGTGAGTGTGGTGTATTAGTGTCCCGGTTATTAATGACGTGTCTGCTTACAGAGCCGACCTGGGACCACTGTGTTGAAGGTGGAGTCAGTCTACCCGAGGCAGCCAGTCTCCATACAGTGAAGTTTGCTGCAGCTGTTGTGACGTCGTCCCCCCGGAAGAACACTGTGGTGTGTTAAGCCTGCCAGTGGAGTGGCAGTGGAAGGATTTACCCGGGACCGACGGTTGGAGACGATAATCCACTGGGGTATTGAGGACAGGAGGGTGATTGGTGATATCACACGAGACTCCTGTCTAGGGCGTACCCCTTTTATCGTTCGTGGAGTGGCCGTACCAGCCTTGGTGGCTCAGTACCTGCCAGCAGACCTGCTGGACGTGTGGTTGACGGCCTCCACGACGGTGCCCCCAGTGGACCTGTGTTGTGGCTGACCTGTGGCCAGGGTAGACTCGGCGTTCTCAGAGGACACGTCTTGAGGCCACGAAGTAAGCACCGCGGACTCAGCACCTAGCTTCGAGGATCCATAGTCTCCAGCAGAAGACTACAGTGTTGATCCCTTTGTAAAGTGTTAATACCCCTCCCCCTTGTGTACTCTTTTATTATATATATTTAAACGGTGAAGGTGAATATTATATTATATTAAGTTCTTACCTTTCTTTCCCTACTCCCTTTAAGTTACTTGCGTCACGGATCGCATCCCTTGAAAGCCTCTACTGGCTTGGGGTCGGATATATATCTTCCTCTAACGACATCAGAGTAAGAACCCCGTTGCGTCCCGAGAGGGCCGTAACATAATTGGCATCCCCAGCGGGATCCGTCCCCTTGTTAAGTATGTTTGACAGGGGTGGTGAAGTGGCGTAATCCCTGTATATAATTCCCCCTGTGTGACGATTGTGACGTTATACGTCCTGTGCGGTGCTCAGAGTGACTAAGTGCGATATTGTGCGGTGCTCGCTGTGATTAAGCGATTAAGTGCAATATTGACTAGTGCGGTGCTCAGTGATTTAGTGCAATATTGTAGAGCGAAGTGTTCGCTTGGACTCACTGCAATATTGTAGAGCGAAGTGTTCGCTTGGACTCAGTGCAATATTGGGTAGTGCGGTGCCCAAAGTGATTACGTGCAATATTGGCAAGTGCAGTGTTTGGTGCGATAAAGTGCAATATTGGCGTAGAACAGTGCTCGGTGCGTTAAGTGTTAACGTGTAAGCAGTGTGTTAAGTGCTAAGTGTTCCATCTGTGACAATGGCAGACAAAGCTACCATCGATGATCTGGACGAGGTTCAGGCTTTTCTGAACAGAGAAGATTGTCTTGCCAGATTAAAATATCTGAGCAAACCGGAACTTGTACTAGTGAGCGCCTACCTGGAGATCAAGATCCGTGCCAGTGATTCCCGTGTGGAGATCTTGTCCAAGGTTCACCGGCACCTGAAGGCAGAAGAGAAACAGGAAGGCGAGACTCCTAGTACAAAGGAAAGTGCAGACATAGCTTCCACGGAAAAGGAAGATAAGGGCAGCGACGTTGACAGTGATGCAGGTGAGCTTAATATCAGCTTCCTAACAGTCAAGATGCGTGCCCTAGAGATTAATCGGGAAATTGAATGGAAGAAGTTAGAAATGGAACGAGAGAGACAAGATAAAGATAGAGATGAACGAAGAATTGGAGATGAAAGCAAAAGAAAGAGATGAGGCGTTTAGAAGAGAAGAACGAGAAAGAGAAGAGAACGAGAAAGAGAAGAAGAGAGAGAGAGAGAGAAAGAGAAGAGAGAAAGAGAAGAAAGAGAAGAAGAGAGAGAAAGAGAAGAGAAGAACGAGAAAGAGAAGAACGAGAGAGAGAGAGAGAGAACGAGAGAGAGAGAGAAGAACGAGAAAGAGAGAGAGAGAACGAGACAGGCAAGAACGAGACGAGACAAAGAGGAAAGAGAGAGACAACATGAACTAGAAGTTTTGCGATTAGGCGGTGGTCGGAGGCAAACAACGGACACCAGTAGCTTCGATCCGGTACGCAACATCAAAATGGTCCCCAAATTCCATGAGAAGGAAGTGTCAAAATTCTTTGCAGCCTTCGAGAAAGTCGCTGCCTCTTTGGAGTGGCCAAGGGAGAATTGGGCCATCATGATACAGTCAGTCTTGACTGGGAAGGCCCAAATCGCCTACTCTACGTTATCCCTTGACGACTCCAGCGATTATGACAAGGTGAAGAAAGTTGTGCTCATGGCGTACCAATTGGTACCTGAGGCTTATAGGCAAAAGTTCAGAAACCTGAAGAAGACCTCAGAGCACACTTTCACCGAATTCGCCACCATCAAGGAGCGACTTTTTCAAGAATGGTGTGCCTCTCGGAAGGTGGAGACCAGGGAAGACCTCGAGCAGCTGATTCTGCTCGAGGACTTCAAGGATTGTTTGTCTGGAGACCTCAAGACGTACTTAGAGGAACAGCAGGTAGAGACCTTGAGTGCAGCAGCCACCATGGCTGAAGAGTATATCCTGACTCATAGGCCGTCTGCTAAGTACGTCCCGAGGAATTACCAGCGCCGGTTTGACAGACCTCACGACGAAGAAGAAGAAAGACCCGTCCCACGAAGCGCTAAGAAGACGCCCCCAAGTAGCCCCCGAAGAACAAGTCCTAGTAGTCCGAAACACCGTAGTCCGAGGAGGAATATGGTGTGCTGGACTTGTGGGCAGAAAGGGCACATAGCTGCTAGGTGCCGAGGCAGAAGAGGTGGCAGCGCACGAAGGGAGGTGATGTTGATGAGCTGTGTTACATCACCAGTAGGAAACCAGTCTACGACGACGCAGGAAGGACCAAGTTTGTTGGCCCCTCACACTTCAACCGGGTATGTAACGAGTGATCATACTGGTAGATCTGTTGTAGTGCTCAGAGATAGTGGAGCAGCCCAGTCCCTGATCGTGAAGAGCTCGTTACCCGAGGGAGTAAGTGTGGATGGGAGACCAGAGGTTATCCTGGTTGGGTTTCCAAGGACGCAGTACATCGCCCCCTTAGTGCCAGTACATCTCGACTCGCCTTATTTCAGCGGCACATGTGCGTTGGCAGTAGTCGATACCCTCCCTGTGGCTGGGATTGACGTGGTACTAGCCAACGACTTGGTGACCGATTGGAGCACCAATCATCCCAAGGTTGCGGACGAGTCTACCAGAACAGCACGGTCTGAGGTGTAACAGGCAATGGTAATGTCCAGGTAAAGACAGACCCGGATTTGAACATGTCTAATTTGTCCTCTCCCCCGCAGATCGACAGTTATCTAGCAGTGTCTCCTGATTCTCTCGACAAGGAACATGAGGTTAAGAAGGCAGAGGTACCTGAGCTAGAAGAGAGGCCTCGTGTGCAGACACCCACGGATACCAACGAGTCTGGAGCGAAGGCTGAGGTGTGCTTGCGGTATGGCAAGTTACAGCGTGTAGTGGACCAGCCAGAGATTCCCCAGACGTCAGAGGTATGTGAGGTATGTTCTAAAGGTCTAGTGCCCTCTTTGGTCCAAGCCAGGCTAGTGGATGGTGCCGGCTATGGACATGACAAGCTCAGGAAACTTATCCCTCGACTTACCAAATGTTTCCTATCGGTATTTTGTTTTGTTCTCCTATGTGCTCTCTGTGTTCTCAGTAAGGATCAGTGGACGACCCGAAGGATGATGGCTCCCGTGAACATCGAGAAGAGGTCCCAGGGATTGGAGAGTTGTACTGCAAGTGTTGCAGTTGAAGAAGGGACCTGGGAGGTAATAGATGATACAGGAGGTACGACATGTGATAATGTGAGTGACTGTTTCCGACAGGTTGACACCCCCCGCGTGACTGCTGAGCCTCAATGCAGCGTTATGTGGAACGTTGGTCGACCTGACGGTGGCAGAGCGAATGCCACCTGCGACGTACGAACAGCCCCGTTGGGACTAGGTGTGGACCTAGTAGAGTATGCTGTAAGTACTGTTTTACTCGCGGTCGCTATCACTCTGAATTATCAGACCCCTGTATTCCAGGTTCCTGTCTCCCTGAAGGACCATCGGACTGGCACCAGAAATGCCGTCTGTGGTCAGCCATCATCGGTGCCACGACATAGGAAAGTGTCGAGTCACCCCAGATCGCGTCGAAACCAATCCGTACTCGAGAGATGTGAGATGACGCCCCTGCTTGACATCGCAGTGGAGACGTGGAAGATTACGTCAGGCAGATCATTGCCTTCTATCTGCAAGTTCCCGTTGTGCCGGAATTGGCCAGTAGGAAAGTTCTGTGGACAAGACAGCCTCATCACTCCAGTTCATAGTATAAGTAAGTCCATTTGGAGTTGTGTCGCCCTGCTAATTTGGTTTGTGTTTTTTATAGAACCCCAAACCAAATTCTTTTTGGTGGGGAGGTGTTACGAACCCGGATCCAGCGTCCGTGCCT